TGCTATGGTTCAAATATGTCTCCACAGTTCATGTGTTGGAAACTTAGTCATCAATGCAACAGTCTTGTGAGGTGGGACTTTAAGAGGTGATTAGTCTATGAGGGCTCTGCCATTATGCTTGGAAGTGAGTTAATTTTCATGGGAGTGGCTTCTTATAAAGGTAAGTTTAGCTCCTCCCCTCTCTTTCCCACTATGTGGTGGTATGATGCATCAAGAAACCCTCATCTCATGCTGACACTTTGATCTTGGACTTCCAGCCTTTAGAACTGTGAGGAAATAAATTTCTGCTTTTAGAAATTACATAGTCACAGCTATTCTGTTACAAAAGCACAAAATAACTAAGACAGGTAGATAGAATGAGCACATGTGAAAAAATCAAATATCAGTAAAGATAGAGAAGATTTAGGAAACATGATTAGTAAAACTGACCTAACAAACCACAAAAAATGTTGTCCATCCAATCTGAAGAATACAAATGATTTCAAGCAAAAACACTTGTATTTGTTCCTATGGCTACTGTAACAAAGTACCAGAAATTTAGTGCTTAAAACAGTACAAATTTATTCTCTTATTGTTCTGATATCAGATGTCCACAATGAGTTTTAAGGAGCTAATGTCAAGGTGTCAGCATTTCTGGCTCCTTCTGTAGTCACTAGGGAAAGATCTGTTCCTTACCTCTTCCAGCTTCCATAGGCTGTAGAATTCCTTGTCTCCTGCCATATCTCTCCAAACTCTGTTTCTATTGTCACATTGCCTTATCCTGTCATAGTCAAATATAATAATCCATGATTATTAATCCAGAATAATCCACGATAACTTCCTCAGCTCAAGAACCTAACTTGTTATATCTACAAAGTCCCTTTTACCATGTAAGACACCAACATCTTTAGGGAGGGGCATTATTCAGTCTCCACATAAATGAATATTTACCAATTTGACTATGTACAAGTACATAAATCATGTCTCAAAAAATAACAAGGTTAAAATTATCAGGATTTTTTTATACAATGTGATTTTGGTAGAAATTGATAATAAAAAGATAATCTTAAAATCTATATATTTGAAAAATAAGAAATATACTCATAAATAGCCATGAATTAAGAAAACAACAATGGCAATTAGAAAAATTTAAGCTAAAACTCAAAAGAAAATACTATTGAGAGATAGTGGCTGAGAATTTAGAACAGAAAATGTATAAGATGTGGTTAACCAGTGTTAGAGTGAGATTGTTTTCTAAATTCATATTTAGGAAAGAAAAAAGATTAGATATTGAAAGCTGAGCATTCATCTCAAGAGTCACAACAGAATGCCAAAATAATCTGAAAAGAATAGAAGAAAACAAATAACAAAATGCACACAAGAATCAAAGATACATAATACCATCCATGTATTAATAATATAATGATAGTAGAAATACATTCCTTGAAAAACTCTGTAAAAATGAAACTTATGGTAAGATGTGCTAGAATAAAAGAAAAGGTAATAATACAAACACAAAGAATAAAAAGAGATATCACTAGAGATTCTAGAAACATTAACAAAAATAAGAGAATTGTGGATAACTCCATGACAATGCATTAAAAAATCAGTTGAACTGGGAAAATTCTTGGGAAAATAATATATCAAATACATTTTGAGTAGAAACATGAATAGCCCAATAACCATTTACAAAATTGAATCAATAGTTTAAAATATTCTCATAAAGAAATCTATGCCAGATGGCTTCACAATGAGTTCTACCAAGTATTTAAGTAAGAAATTATTCTAATCTTTCTCAAAAAACTCCAGACATAAAAAAGATGGAATACTCCCCAGGCTTAACTTAATACCCAACCTAAAAAGATTAATATCAGAAGGAAAAGTTACAGCCATTCTGGCCAACAAACATATGAAAAATGCTCAACATCTCTAATCATCAGGGAAACGCAAATCAAAACCACAATGAGATATCACTTAACTCCAGTGAGAATGGCCTTTATCAAAAAGTCTCCAAACATAAATGCTGGCATGGATGCGGAGAGAGAGGAACACTCCTACACTGCTGGTGGGACTGCAAACTAGTTCAACCTCTGTGGAAAGCAATATGGAGATACCTTAAAGCGATACAAGTGAATCTACCATTTGATCCAGCAATCCCATTGCCGGGCATCTACCCAAAAGATCCAATGACATTCTACAAAAAAGACACCTGCACTCGAATGTTTATAGCAGCACAATTCATAATTGCAAGGCTGTGGAAACAGCCCAAGTGCCCATCAATCCAAGAATGGATTAATAAAATGTGGTATATGTATACCATGGAGTACTATTCAGCTCTAAGAAAATGGTGACATAGCACATCTTATATTTCTGGTTAGAGCTGGAACCCATACTATTAAGTGAAGTTTCCAAGAATGAAAAACAAGCACCACATATACTCATCAGCAAATTGGTATTAACTGAGCAGCACCTAAGTGGACACATAGGTACTACAGTATAGGGTATTGGGCATGTGGAGGGAGGAGGGCGGGTATATACATATATAATGAGTGATGTGCACCATCTGTGGGATGGTCATGCTGGAGACTCAGACTTGTGGGGGGAGGGGGAAATGGGCATTTATTGAAACCTTAAAATCTGTACCCCCATAATATGCCGAAATAAAAAAATAACTAATAAAAAATAAATTAAAAAAATAAAATACCAAAAAAAAAAGTTACAGCTATTCTTACTGATGAACATAAGTGTGAAAATATTAAGCAAAATATTAATGTTATCAGATTTTATTTGTTTGGTTTTTTTGTTTTTGTTTTTTGAGACAGAGTCTCACTTTGTTGTCCAGGCTAGAGTGCCGAGGCATCAGCCTAGCTCACAGCAACTTCAAACTCCTGGGCTCAAGCAATCCTTCTGCCTCAGCCTCATGAGTAGCTGAAACTACAGGCATGCACCACTATGCCCGGCTAATTTTTTCTATATATTTTTAGCTGTCCAATTAACTTCTTTCTATTTTTGGTAGAGACAGGGTGGTCTCGCTCTTGCTCAGGCTTGTCTTGAACTTCTGAGTTCAAATGATCCACCCACCTCAGCCTCCCAGAGTGCTAGGATTACAGACATGAGCCACCATGCCGGGCCGCAGATTTTATTCTATAAAAATGAATTAGATATGATGATGAAGTTAATTTTGTCTTATGAATGCATTAGAAAGTCAATTAGCCAAGAAAAGGAGAAAAACACATGATCATCTCTACAGACACAGAAAAATCATTTGATAAAATTTTCACATTCATGAACTATGAAAACAAACAAAACACTTCTTAATAACCTGGTATTAGAAGGGAAATTTCTTAACCTATAGTGATTATTAATTGCATGTATCAACTTGACTAGGTCATGGTACCTAGATACTTGACCAACCACTATTCTTTATGTTTATGTGAAGGGCTTTTATTATTATTATTATTATTTATTTCAGAATATTAAAGGGGTACAAATGCTTTGGTTACATATGTTGCCTTTGCACCATCCAATTCAGAGCTACAAGCATACCCAATGCCCAGATGCTTGGGCATCATACCCATTAGGTGTGAATTTACCTCCCTCCTCCTCCACCCTCCTAAATGCTCAATGTCCTATAAATGTTACTTCTATATGTGCACATAAGTGTTGGTCAATTAGTACCAATTTAATCGTGAGTACATGTAGTGCTTGTTTTTCCATTCTTATGATACTTCACTTCGAAGAAGGGCCTCCAGATCCATCCAGGATAGAACAAGCATTCATCATTTTTATGGCTGTGTAGTACTCCATGGTATACATATAAAATATATGACATTTTATTAATCCACTCATGTATTGATGAATACTTGTGTTGTTTCCACATCTTTGCAATTGTGAATTGTGCTGCTATGAACATCTGAATGAAGATGTCTTTTTTGTAGAATGACTTTTGTTCCTTTGGTTGAATAATACCCAGTAGTGGGATTGCTGGATCAAATGATAGTTCTACTTTTAGTTCTTTGAGGTATCTGCATATTACTTTCCATAGACGTTGTACTATGTAGTCCTACCAGCAGTGTATGCCAGATGTATAGCATGCAAATATTTCCTCCCAGCCTGTAGGTTGTCTTTTGGCACTCATGATAGTTGCCTTGGCTATGTAGGAAAAGCTTCTCAATGTTGTGGAATAATTTCTGCAGGATAGGCACCAGTTCTTCTTTGTAGGTCGACTAAAATTTAGATTTGAAACCATATGGTCCAGGATGTTTTCTTAAGGAAGGCTTTTTATTGCTGCTTCAATTTTGGTATTTGATATTAGTCTGTACAGGAATTCTATTTCTTCCTGATTGAGCCTAACAAAGCTGTGTGTTTCTAAAAATTTGTCCATTTCTCATTTGTGGTATTGGGTTGAAAAGAAAAAAATAATAATAATTTTTTATTCACAGCAAGGCCTCACCAGAGGCCAGAGAACAAAAGAAACTGAGATAGACACTATTCCATGGAAGCAAGAGAAAGGCTCATTGAGTTCAATGCAGCTCATGAAGAAAGTCATTCCTTTAATAAAAATTATGCTGAAGATATTTTCCCCGTGATACCACCTGAGTTAGAAGAAACCATTCGAGATGAAAAAATAAGAAGACTTAAGCAGGTGCTAAGAGAGAAAGAAGCGCTCCTCGAAAAGAAAATGCCGTAAGAAGATGGCACAAAATAAATAAGATCTCCTGTACTTAAAAGACTTCAATGAAATGGCTGTTTTTAAAAATATACTTTTTGTATTAATAAGTTAAATTGTAGATGAATTCTGAAGTGTCTTAGAATAATAAACTTGCTTTTTTGTCAGTTGATTATAAAATTTTTATTTAAGAACCCAGAAAAGATTGATTCACATGTGACTTATGAATAATCTGTGTGGGGGTATCTAAACCTTTGTCTTAGATACCTATTTTTGGAAGGAAAAATTTTATATTTTTTTCTATTATTTTAACTTGAATTCTCCAAGTTTGAATATTTGTGTAGGGTTTTTGTTGTTGTTTGTATTATTATTAGCCTAAATTGCTCAGGTGTTACTTCACCATAGATAATTATTGTGTATTATATGAAATTCTACAATGGACAGAGAGAGAGCAGCTCCAAACTTAGCTTTATGAATGGGTTTATGTATGTATGTACTTGCTTGGTCTCTTTACCCATAAGTGATTGATATCTTCTACTTATCATTTTGTTATTTTGTTTGTTTCATGAAGGAAATGTATTATGGTAGCATTATTTAATATTCAAACATTTTTGAAGAGTGAGGGGACACTTGTTTATAACTTTTACAAAGTAATTTTTTATAATCCAAACGTGTTTGAATTCAGGTTATCTTGATACCATTGTTTGCTTAAAGTGATGTTTCATTATTCCTAGGCAAATGCTTGCTTTTGGTAGGGGGAGAATATGTACATATGTTACTTGATTGTGTGAAAGTAGATCTGAACCATGGTCTCATTTAATACTTTTTAAATTTTCAAGTGTAGTTTTTCTCTCTGGTTAATCTTTGATTTGGGAGAGTTTGGGAGTGGTGTGGAGATAGAGATTAAAAGAGGGGGAAGGATACGGTGATATAAAAAATGATGAAGAATCCTGGAAGTAAGAGAGGTTAAAATAAAAAACCTGTACATTAGCAACAAAAAGAGAAAAATAGTAAATCAGAATACTCGACGGAATGAAGCAAATACAGATTCAACTAGGTTCTGTTGGGTTTTTTTAGTAACCAATTTAATTAAAATGTAATTCATATACATAAAATTCAACTTTTAAACGTGTACAATTCACTGGTTTTTATTACATTCACAGATTGTACAGCCATCCACAACTCTTACTTTAGAACCATTTTCAACACCTCCAAACAAACTCATGACCTTCCCTGTCCCCCCGCCTCCCGCCCTAGGCAAGCACTAATACACTTTCTGTCTCTATGAAATTGCCATATTGTGAACATGTCATATGCTGAAATCACACAATATACTTTCTTTTGTAATTGGTTTCTTTCACTAGCCTAATATTTTCAAGGTTTGTCTGTGTAGCAATGTATTGGTACTTATTTATTATTGCTTAAAATATTCCGTTGTGTGGATATACCACACTCTGTTTATCTGTTCATCCTATTATGGACATTTGAATTGTTTCTACTTTGCTGCTATAAAAGTTGCCTATGTATTTTGTCCACCAAGTTTTTGTATGGATGTATGTTTCAATTCTCTTGGGAATATTCTAGGAAGTGTAAGTGCTGGGTCATATGACATTCTATGTTTAATATTTTTGAGGAACTGACAAACTTTCAGGTTTTGCTCCCCTACTCCACTGAAACAAATCTTGTCAAGGTCACCAGTAACTTCTGTGTTACTAGATTCTGATGGTCAATTGTCAGACTAGTCTTATATAACACAAATGTGATTTCATGAATCATTACTTCCTTTGAAAGTGTTTAAAACATTTTATTATAGAAGCAGTGCATGATACATTTGTAGAAACTTAGTTAGCACATCATACTTCTTTCAACCTTTCATCCACTGGTAACAACACCTTGGTATATATGCTTTCTGATCTTTCTCTGTGCCCCATATGTACACATATGTTTTACCAAAATAAGGTCCTTATACTATTCTGATTCCTGCTTTTGAAGTCAACAATCTTCAGGTGCTCCTTTCATATATATTTATGTCTTCTAATACTCTAGCCAATTATACCAAGTGGACCCAGAATATTTTTACATGGCTCTCCAAAGCAGTATTAAATTTCAGACTATGCATTTTATCTAGCTGTTATACCCTATAGAGACTTTTAAATTTGTACAGTTTTTAAAAAATGACAGTGATTTATTCAAAAGACCAGCCAATTGTCCTGACTCCTTTCTCCTTCATATACTTTCATTTTTACTCTCTAGAAGACCACACTTTGCCTCTTGATTGGTCATTTTCTTGCAGATTCCTTCTCTTCATTCTTTTAACATTTAAGTACCCTAGGTCTCAGTCCTTGTTTTGCTTTTCTGCTTATATACTCCCTTTGTGATCTCATCCAGTTTTATGGCTTAAATACTATTTTATGTGCTGATAACTTGCAGGTTTTTATCGTTATCCCCGACGACCTTGCTCTTGAATTCCAAGGCTTGTATTGCCAACTGCCTATTTAAATATCTCTATTAGATGGCTAAATAAACCTCAAAACTGGTCTAAAACTGAAATCCCTGCTCTTCCCTTAAACATGCTTCACCTACATTTTTCCCCCATTGTGGCTGTGACAACTCCCTCTTACCAATTACTCAGGCCAAAAAAACTTGTAGTCATATTTGACTGCTTGCTCTCACACTCATATAAATTTGTTGGTTCTACTTTAAGAATACCCCAAATATGACCTCTTTTCATCTCCAGTGCTATCAGCCCTGGACTGGGTGGGGTATTGGTAGCATCATAAATGATCTCTTTTTCCATATTTGTACCCCTCCAGCCTATTCTCAATACACACAGCCCGAGTGAACCTTTTAAGGTAAGTCATCTCTCATTACCCTCCAATGACTTCTCATTTCACATGGAGTAAAAGCCACTATGCTGAGGGCTAGAGATCCAAGATAAGCAAATTAGATAAATACAGTTCTAGTAAGCTCCACCATAATGCTATTGTAAGCCCCAATATACCACTGTTTTTAATCTAGGTAATGAGATTTAAAGGTGTTCCTCAAAAATGATATTTGAGCTGAGATGTGAAGGAGAAGCAGAAATTAAATAAGCAAAGGGGTAAGTTGAGTGGTGAAAATATTTTTCCTAGCCAGGGGAAACAGCAGATTTAAAGGCAGGAGAGAACCATGGCAGATAGGAAGAATCCAACAAGGCCAGATGACACCAAACCAGCTGAAAGTTTTGGATAACCACCTAGGGAGATAAAAGTAAAATTGTGGACTTCTCTTTGAGTGTATTTAAAAATTGGAAAATGAATGGTTTAGTTGAATTTTGAGACTAGAAGAAGGATTAAATGAGTTATATTTATAAGCCTTGGGCCATGCCTAACACATAGTAAGCATTCAGTTAAATAAACTAAAATCATCCTAATGGACTATTGCATCTACATTTCATTAAATTTTTCTTCTTTATTTTTAGCCTATATTCTCCTTTTTCTTTTTTTATTCAATGATCTACTATCATTTCCAATATATTTTCTTTTTTTATTTTTCTCCTTATTAAGGCTTTACTGCTCATAAAAGACCATCAACCATATACATTTCTTCTGATACTGTATTCCATGATACTGAAATGTGGCTTATATCTTTTACAGCAAAATTCATAATTTGTCCAATGCTGCTAGTCTCAAAACTCCACCCCTCTACTCTGAAATTCACTTCAAATTAGGATTTTATCTTTAACTTATGAGCACTCTAAAGCTGCTTTTATCAAGGTCTCCAGTACTTATAAAAAAAATTTTTGGCTTTTCAAAAATCTCACAACAAAAAAAAAATGGGTCAATTTTTTTCCTTTTGGTCTTTTTCTTTTGAAACTTGTTCCAGTACAAAAAAAAAATTTTTGGAATACCTTTTTTTTTTTTTTTTTTTTTTTTGGAATTCATTTTTTCTTGTTCTTTTTTAAAACCTTTGGAGAAATTTTTAACATTTTCTTCCAACTTTTTTCCTGTTTTGTTTTTTTAAAGGGACAAAACAAAGTAAATTTCTTTTTTTTTTTTTTTTTTTTTTTTTTTTTTTTTTTTTTTTCTCTTGCGTTTTATTTTTTTTTTGCTTTTTTTGTCCTTTCTCCAGTTCCCCCTTCTTTGGCTTTTTTTTTAAAAAATTTTTTTTTTCCCCTTTTCCCTTTCTTCCCCCAAAAATGAATCTCTTTCAACAAATGTTTTTTTTTGCAATTACTTTAGAAAGTTTCCAAAAATTTCCAGATTTTTATTTTCATTTGATTTTTTTACTTTCAATCATCCAAATTGTTTGAAACACAACAAAAACTTGATCTTTTGTTCAAAAAAAAAAATCTTTTAGTCTCATCTGAAATAAATAAAATCTTTTTTTTTAAACCAATCCTATACTTCGAAAACTTTTTTTTTAAGACT